GCATCCTCACAAAAGAGTGGCGAGTTCGCCAGGCTTCTTGTGCAGCCATTGCAGATCTGGTACAAGGACGTAGTATTGACAAGGTGAGCATTCATATCTATTGTGGTGCCTAAGCTAACAATATTTTGCAGTACGAGAAGTACCTTGACGCCATCTGGGAAAAGACATTCAAGGTCCTGGACGATATCAAAGAAACAGTCCGTGTGGCTGCAGCGTCCCTTGCTCGTGTCCTTACTGGTATTTTAACCCGCTCTTTGGAAGCTGGAGATTCATCATTGAAGTCTGCGACCGTTCAGCTTGAGCGTGTCATACCTTTCCTCTTTTCAAACTCCGGTCTGGAGTCGTCGGCTGAGGAAGTTCGTCTCTTCTCCGTACACACTCTCCTTCAAATTGTGAAGAAGAGCAACGCAAAGACACTCAATCCACATGTACCTGAACTAGTCGAGCGCCTACTCGGCTTGCTCAGCAGTCTGGAACCAGAAGCAGTCAACTACGTTCATCTCAACGCCAGCAAATACAACCTTACAGAGCAAAAAATTGACGACATGCGCCTCGCCAGCGTACGCCAGTCGCCATTGACAGAATCTGTAGAGCGCTGTCTCGACCTTGCAGATGCAGACACTATGGCTGCACTAGTCCCACGTATCGAAGCCGCCATGAAGAACGCAGTCGGTCTTCCATCAAAAGTAGGATGCTCACGAGTACTCGTCACACTCGCCACTCGCCATCGCTTCCTTTTCAACCCCTACGCCGACGGATTCCTCAAGCTAATCCAGAAGCAAATCCACGACCGCAACGAAACAGTCAGCTCCTCGTACGCAGCAGCAGCAGGTTATCTCGCACGCCTAGCATCCGACAAGCAAATTCTCTCCACCTTCGCCTTCGTCAACAAACTCTACTTCGAGTCTGAGGAAAACAGCGACAGAAACCGTTTACTAGCCGCAGACATAATGCGCGCCATAAGCTCCCACGCAACCGATCGCTTCAACTCTTTCGCCGCAGACTTCCTGCCTTTCATCTTCCTCGCTAAACACGACTCGGAAGAGCAAATTCGTAAGAGCTTCGGCGAAACATGGGACGACCATGTCGCTGGACCCCGCGCTGTAGCTTTGTACCTAAAGGAAATCCTCGCGCTTTCAGACACGCATCTCGAGAGTCGACAGTGGGCTATCAAGCACACGGCTGCCAAGACGGTCGCGCATTGCGTGCTGCAAATTACGAATGCGGTTGGTAGCGAGAAGATTGATGCTGCGACTGCGAAGACGATCTGGCCTGTGTTGGATAAGGCACTCAGTGGGAAGAGTTGGGATGGCAAGGAAGTTGTGCTTGAGGCTTTTGTGCGATTTGTAGAGCGTTCCGAAGCGTACTGGATGGATGCAGGGAACAAGGATGTTGCGAAGCAGCTCGAAAAGGTAGCTACGCGGGAGAGCAAGAGACAGGAGGGCAAGAATGAGAAGGTCGTTGCTGGGGTTTTGGAGAAGCTAAGAGGACATTTGGGGGTTTAGTAGCATGTTGTTGATTCATTGTTGTAAACACCCCTTTCTTCTTTGTATCTAGAAATACATACAATTTTGGGGATTTTGGAGGCATAAAATTGTTCAAGCCCCCTTATCCTGCTTCAACGCCTCCTCCAACGCCCGATCCGCACTTACTTCCTTCTCGGCCCCGTCAATCACTCTTCTCAAGCCCTTTGCGCACGCCGTTAACTTCTCTCGCTCATCATCGTCCAGCTCGATCGGCATCGCGCGTATAATGCCTTTTCTACCTATCACCGCCGGCATGCTAAGACAGCAGCCTAGATCTGGCTGGTAGAATGACAGTGGGCGCACGGAACGTGAGTCGAATAAGATGTACTTGCAGATGCTAGCGGCGATGTTGCCGATGCCGAAAGCGGTGCAGCCTTTTGCGGCGATGATGGCACCCGCCGCACCGCGTGTGTGGTCTGAGATGCTGGCTTTGAATTCTTCAGTTAGGGTTGAGGGGGGAAGGGCGAGGGCGAGAGGTGTTGTGCCGATTGTGGCGGAGGACCAGGCGATCTGTTGGAAGTTAGTATCGTTTTATATCCTAGCATCCTTTTCGCTTCCAAAAAATCTAGTACTCGTTCTTGTATCCGGGTAAGGGACGTGATGGTGATGATTGAGTAGTTTTTTGCTTTTGATAGTGGCCAAAGTAAGAAAGAAGAAGAAGAATGAAGAAACTCACAAACTGACTATCCCCATGCTCCCCCAGAACATACGCATCAATACTATTCGGCGCGACCTCCGCCTTCTCCGCCAGCACTCCCCTTAACCTCGCCGAATCCAGACTTGTCCCCGTCCCCAACACCTGGCTCTCGGGCAACCCACTCATCTTCCTCGCAAAATACGTTAGGATATCCACGGGATTCGCCACAAGCAGCAGAATCGTATGTGGATTCATCGGTGCCATGGCACCGAATATGCTTTCTAAGATGTGCAGGTTGCGACTCAAGAGTGAGAGGCGCGATTCACCGGTCTTCTGCTTGGCGCCAGCGGTAATGACGACAATGTCTGCTTGCCCGGCTTCGGCGTGCGTGGCGGCACGCACGCGGACGCCGCTTCCGCCACGGTAGGTGGCGTCGGAGAGGTCACGGACTTGGGCTTCGAGGAGGGATTGCTTGAGGTCTACGAGGAGGACTTCGGAGCAGATGGGTTGCAGGATGAGGGTGTAGGCGAGGGTGGAGCCTACGTCGCCGCAGCCGAGGATGGCGATTGTGGTTTTGAGTTTGGGTTGGGTCATTGTTTTATCGTCTCTTTTTGGATGTTGAGTTGGTGTTGTTGATGGTGGTGATGTTCTTTATTGGTTTGGAGTAGGAATTGGCAAGAGGCCTGGAGTGGTTGTGGGAAAAAGCAAATATACGTTGTTTTTCTCGGTCCGGGTATGGCAGGTAAAAGGGATATAAGCAAGAAGAGCTAGGGAAAGAATCTGAATGTTATATACACTTCCCGTAGGTAGGCTCGTGTAGTCGTCCGTTGTTCTACGTTGCCAAGAGCTAGGCAGGCGAAATGTGGCGTGATGCCACCCTGCAGATGGCAGGCTCAGCCACTTAACATGCGCTTCATCCCACTTTATTAGTTGAACAACGGTATTCAATGACAAACCTATTGACAAATTGCAAATGTTTCCAGATACTTGATGTACCGCGGACCTACCGTGGCAGTACTTAGTAGTGTTACTACTCTGTTGGTCCGTGGACCGCTAAACATGGTTCATCTCTCGACATAATATCACTTGACAGGAACAATCGAACCTCACATAATTATCCCTTTCGCTGCATTGGCTCTACGCAAAGACTGATGTTCATCACATGATTTAGCCCTAGTCAGGAATAAGGATCTTGGTATCCTAGTTAGCCTTGACCTGAAGGATGAGAGGAGTAGTATTTAAAGCTGATTGAGGTGAATTACAATGGAGCAGTTTGTGAAAAAGACAGCGAAGATACAGGGATGAACTTGGGGCCGCATAACACTTGATAAGTCAGCTTCTGGGCAATCTGATGGAAGGTGAGTAAAGAAAAGAAAAGGAATCCCCTACTTGTGCCCTTCCAGTTAGATCACCTGATACTTTCCTGCACCCACATATCTACAGGTTAGTATCGATCGCTGCCTTAGCGACTTCCTCATTCCGATCCTTCCTTGTTGTGCTCCTAGAAAGCAAGTTTGATGCTTACCTAAATGGACAATGTCGCGGTCGTGCAAATCCGCAATACCTTCCAAGATGGCTTTGAGAATTTGTTTTCGAGCTCGTACCGATACCTGACCTTGAACCAGATTTAGGAGGTCTTGATCTAGGTATTCGTACACGAGTATGGGTCGATCTGGTATAGTATCTACTGGCAGTCGTACGCGAGGAGTGTGAGGAAGCCTCGGTCGGATTTCCTCGTTGAAGCCCGAAACCATGTTTTTAGGTATGTCCTTCAGTATGAAGTTTTCATTTCTGGACCTTTAGAGGCATTAGTTATCAGAGCAAGTACGATATGGGAGGTGGCTCGAACGACGCTAGCCAAACGCGACCAACATGTGGTCTTTCCTGAATCAGCCTTTTGAATATGTAAGAGCGCCCAGTTGAGCTAACTAGATTGAGCGACCTTAAGGCTGCCATTTCGATGTATGCCTGGTGTATGTTCCACCCGCCGCAGCTGAAGGGGGCGATGAACGTAGGAAATGACTTGACAGCAAAGGTGGGCTTGGAATCACGTGTGGGTATAGCCAGTTCAGGCGTTTGTCAACCGTCAATGTAACATTCACTATTGATGAGTGCTGACCAACTAACAGGTGGTCTATTTCCTTAGCTCACGTATCTGGAGAAGGGTAAGGCAGCAATAAGTGAAACGAGGACCTTTGCGCCGCACTAGGGATCGAAACTGTTTGTTTTCCTTTTATCTTTTCTTAGAATGGAAGGCGTGTGGCGGCTTATATGAATTGATTCCCAGATGGGCACTGGTAACAATTTTACTCTTTCTACAATATAGAGCAGGCACGACTGAATCTGTTGTGAGACGCTGGTGTTGTGTATAGCTTCGGAAGATACACATGAAGTGACTGCAGGAATTATTGCTCGTCTAAGTAGATATTTCTGAGCGATTAGACTTCTGCATTTTTTCTGACTCCGAAGTGTGCGTTCGAGCTAGACTTCACAGTGAAAAGCATCCAGTGTGGGCCAAAAAAAGTTACATTCACCATTTGAAAAATGTTTGTCTCATTGTTCTTGCCACCAAATTGAACAGAATCCGGTTGGCTTGCGGCGGGGTTTCATCATGCGGCCCTTTGTCTCAAACTTCACAGCGTCATTCACGCTTAGATCATCTTGTAAGGAAGAAATCTTGCTCTTCTATTCTAGTTCCTATACAATATCATACCGCTCTACTGATTATTATGTGGTTGGGCCCTCGCGAGTAAGACTGTCGATAGATCAAAGGCACGCCCACGACACGAATTTGGAACATTCCTAATATCACAGTCGGGCAAGCCCAATACACAAGCATGGTCAGCTTCAAGAAGATCATGGATTCCTCAACAAAAAATGACAGCAATATCAAGCAAAACACGCCAAACACCAAGTGGGCAGATGAAGGCGACAATGCGACAAGAAAACAAGCAAATCACGAAACTCGTGAGAGGCAGATTACAAACTCATCACTCAACTATGGTAATCAAGAGGGATTTTATTTCCATAATCTAGAAACTCTTACTCCCGCTATGGAGAAGCGACAAGGTAGAAGTGAGAAGGAAAAAGCCTGGGACAGTTCTATGCCACGGTATTACTCTGTAAAGAACATATATAACTCTGGGCCAGAAGGCGAAAACCAACCAGCATGGGCAACATGGAAAATGCATGAACAAGAGCATAGGGAATATACCCTTTATCGGCTAACTGATCAGGACGTATCGAGCCTGTATCCAGTATCTCCGGCATCTGATCATCCACTACGTTCACATCGGCATGCAGTAGTTTTTCCGGTATCCCTACCAGGAACAGCTCATAAACAGCATGAGGAAAATGAAAATGAAAATGAAACCATGAACACGCGTACAAGAAGAGACTCTGGGGTTGTACATTCCTACGCGGGATTACCAATATCCATTGAAAAAGCTATTAATACGAACAAGCCACTACCTCCAGTACCACGTATTAAACCAGCATCAAGGCCGGGTCCGAAGGCAGGTCTTCCTTCTTCACCTCGCCCCATCACATGCCCCCAGAATATCAAGACTTTGTCCAAGAAACTCAAGTCCAAGACTGACCAGAGTTCTCCGCGGTGGAAGGGGCTTCACTTGACAGTTCCCCAAGTAACCCTCAAATCCAAGATTTCATTCCCAGGCCTACTCACAGCTTCCAAAAGTGGCTCAATTAAAAATATTGCTGTAGAATGCGACGGCATTAGCAGCTCTGCAAATGTTGTCTCCCTCCCAATCAAGCACATCGACGCCCTTCTAGGCCCATATCCATCTGAAACCACATCCAGTGCAAAGCCCAATGTAGAGAAAACACTCTCATTACCTTTGCACGTTCCAGCGACCAACGCCGCGGATATGAAGGCAAAAGGAAAACCCGCGGCGGTACGTGACCATGCACCCCCAATACACTGGCGAGATGCTTTTGTCGAATCTGCATTTGAAGCTAGTGAGTTTATTAAGCAGAGTGCGAGGGAGAAGCTCGATGGAGTTATGCGTGTAAGTCGACGAAGAAAGAGCTCGGATGCTAGCTTTATGTGTCAGGGTGTAGGGAATGAAGGGCTTGATACGTGGAGCTAGTGCCAAAAAAAACCAGCATCGTTGCTACCTGGCTATTTATTTTGATTCAAAGACTATTGGGTCTCATAACCCTGGCTGGACGTCGTCGCAAGTTTAAGCTTGCGACTCTCCCTATGAAAAACTCAGATCGCCACCTGTTGCTTCGCACACATCAAACCCGAGAACGGAACCTCCGAATTGCTTGAAGCGAGAGATTAATAATGGCATACTACCCAATCAATGTGCGAATCTGAAATCCAACCTCTTCATACCCTCATCTTTTGTCGATAACAAATAATCTTGCTGCTCCTCCTTTGTCATCGCATTCCATTTCCTGTCTCGGACTTTGTTCCTCCAGATGTAGAATAGCTTCACCAAGTAGAACAAAATGATGTTGAAGGAGCAAATCGCAAGCAATATCTTGTTGCCGCGTCGATACAGTGGCTTATCATCATCGCGGTAGATGTTCGTTGCGATGATGTTTCCTGATTGGACAAACATGTTGTAAAGAGCAGCAGAAACAGCGCGGGTCCGGACTGCATTGCTGTTCTTGGCGTTCCAGCCCACAAGGATAGCGTGGCAATATGGATAGCTTAGGAGTCCAGTAAGCAGTGCGTATCGAATCCAAGGACTGGCGCTTGCAGGCAAAGTTACTAAGCCAACCAGCCACGGGAAAATCCAGATGTTACTAATACTGCTGATGATGGCTCGCTCCTTTACTCTCTCGGAAAGCCAGGTAAGGATGAGCAGTTGCACGGCAAACAGGAATTGCGACGGAATGGTGAGCAAGTTGGCTTTAAAGACGGAAAAGCCGAGCTGTCGCAGGATGTACGAGAGATATGTGTTCGGCGGAGCAGGAGGAATGTATGCCGTCAAGCCAATAATGTAGAGCGGCCACTGTTCCCAATCGAAGCAGGATTTCAAAAGATGGCCGATGCCAACGGCTTGACGGTTGTTCATGTCACCTTTGGAAGGGCTACTAGAGTCAGCACTGTAGCAAAGGTACGTATTATGCCACTTACTCATCACGGAGGACTCTGTTGACGAGAATGTATTCCTCATGATCAGTGAACCATCCGTTCTTGCCTCGGAACCAGTGCTTCGTTTGAGTGGGACCAGGAGGCATTAAACCCCAGGACAGCAAACCAATGAAGCAGGTGATGACGCCCTCGATAAGAAACCTAGCATACCACTCAGCATCGGCTCTCACAATTAGATCTAGTAACATACAAATATTGCCACCCTGACCAGCCGTTGATTCCTCGCATTTGCAGGACACCAGCTGCAATCAATGATCCAGCAATTTGGCAAGTACTAAGAGCGGTCCAGAAGAAAGCCAGACGCTTCGGGAGTTCATTGGATTTCTAGGGTAATGTTAGAATACGTCTATCGAGTGACACCAACCGTACACGTACGAAGTAGTAAGTAAGCCATAGCACGATGTCGGGGATAAAGCCACCCATTGCTAATCCTAGCAATCCACGGATTACATAGTATACCGCTTTTGACTTCATTGCTGCCTGAGATGCGCTGACAATTGACCACGCGCAGATGATGAAAGGAATCCATCGATCGGCGCCGATTGCCTTACTAATGAGGCCACTCGGAAGCTCCGCTGCAAGGAACGAAGCGAGGAATATCTATATAGCATTAGAATTACAATTGAATAGATGGAAAATGTGATAAATACCGTTTGTCCATAATTGAAGTCATTAGTGGTCATGTCTGGAACAAAGTAAGCTACTTGTGGTGCGTTTCTCTCATTCTCTCACTTACTCAATTCTTCCAACTACAAGCATTATCAGCTAGGTGATTTTAATTGGATGAGTAGAAAGCAAGCTTACCATGTTGTCGGAGATAGCGCGATTGATATTTTTCCTGTTCAAGTCCAGTGCGCAAAACATCAGCCAAGCCCAGAACGTAATCCTGAAATCGAGCTGCCAAGCCGTCAGCGTTTTATTTCCTGACTCTCATGAGTTGTCCTTGCTTACTTTACGGACGAGGCGCTCCTCCTCTTCAGATGTCCACTTGTAGTTTGGATCAAATCGATGTCGGTTCTCGTATTTGTTTCGCTCATAGACTTCTCGCCAATGCTCTGCAACAACGGGATCACTGAAGACATGGTTGTCGCCATTATCTCCGTATGGCTCCTCAATGTCCCTGGAATCCGCATCTGAAGATCCCGAATCAGTGTGTTTGGGCACGGGTACCTGGTTCTTGCCGTCACCTAGTTCCGCCATCGTGCCTGTTGGCTAAGAAAAAGTAACCAAAAAGAGATGCAGCTGAATACAATTGACAAACAGAAATCAGGGTTCTGGGACTCACATCTGGTGTCTCCGAGCATCTCCGGGGCACTGTATTTAACCTACACGAAAACATTTCTCTTCAAGACGCCGCCACGATGTCGCAACATCAACAGGAATTGACAACATGTTCGAGCGATCCAGACGTATCACTTTGCCGAAGCTACAATCGGCCAAGGAGCGCCGGAAAATTGTACCCAAGTGACACAAGAAGGACTGTGATTGGGCATCGTCGTTCTTATCTGTGAATCCACTGCCTTCAGAACCGAGATCTGCCATTCAGTGACAGTCATGGCGTCACGCACGGCTCGGCAGCAGTCTGGCAGCTCAAGAGACGCCGGTGCTATGGGATCGGTGGCTTCAATACCGAACTAAACCCTCCATATGTATACCCTACACTGTAACCACCACAATCTGCTAGCCACTCAAGGTAACCCCCCGAGATAGCGCAATGCAGGATCACAATTGTGGGATGAAAGCTGGACATGTTTTCCTGGATGGGCTTGATTAGAGTCTTCATTAGTTGCTGGAAGGCGGCGTTATTGATGGGGGTGTGGTGTTCACGTCAATTTCTCAAGAATGGCGTCAGGAAACCCCATGCACGCCAAGGCCAACGCGTATTCCCGCATACAGGGGACCAACCCCACAACACAACACGAGGGGCGAGTGCCGGCTTCACTGTTCGTATTTTTGAGCAGTTGGTTGAAATGCTTCTGCGTATGTATCTAGAGATGATGATTGGCGGACCCCAGTACCGGCATCCAGGTAACTGACGCAGAAAGCACGTGGCGATTATATACATGTTGAGATCTCACGGTATAGATTGTACCGGATGTCATGGATGTTCTACTTGGCAACGGCATTTCTGTTTATCTCCGGGATGATCGGTGGACACCTTTGACGAAAGCGAAAGTATTCTCTTTTCCGAACGCACGGTACTCATCGCGTATACATACATACCTGTAAGGAGCCCCACAATCAGACCCATCATCAACTCGAGCTGTTTTTTTCCTTCAATTTCCTCATTTTGAAAACTTTACACCTAGTTATTCTCCTCCCAATTTATAATGAAGAAGAGTAAGGCAATGTATGTATGAGGATATACATTTCTGAGACAGTGGATATCTCGCTCTCTGCGTTGAAATAATGGGATCAAAGCAGCGTTTGCCAGCTTACCCATGTCCAAAAAAATGAAGACAGCTACTTCCATGACGTATATATAACATATTGCATGATTTTCCGTACTATAATGGTTGTTACCTGTCAGTCCAGCTTGCATCGTGACCACGGTGCTTACACCTGAATAGCCGCGTGAAGAGTATTATAGACTGACGTATGATTACTTTTATTACGCTTCGTGAGGCCAGATAGTTCTTTTAGTTTACTCGGATAAACGAATTCTCAATCCATGAGCCCTACGCGTATGAAGAGAAAGCTTAACAGTACCTGTGTTTCTTTTTGTTGATCCTATCAAAACTTGGGATGATGAATTAAACATAACCACAAATGATGGTCCACACGATCTGGTGGGGCTCCCATGGGTCAGCCGGCAGATATCGCGAATAACAAACTTCACAAAGTCAGCTAGTATAGCTTGAGAAGACTTGTGATTTCACTCCTCATCAGATAGTATGACTGAGTCTTCTGTTAAATCACCTTGCTGATAATCGACATGCGCTAGTGAATGAGTACTCCCTACCACGAGGTATGGTAAGGATATGGTAGTGGCCGCGCGGGCAGCGGGTAGGGGCATGGTAGGGTTGCCAAGCGTTGGGTAGAGGTAAGGTAGAGTCTTACATAAGTCCAACCCCTACCCTACCTCTACCCAACGCTTGGCAACCCTACCATGCCCCTATCCCTACCTGTATACCACCTTAGATCGTCAATACATTTCAGTTAATTCAAATCATATTTCATACTGCATTCAAACCATGATGTTCAATCTATAAAAAGTCGTCAAATTCTTCTCACATCTTGGGTGCCCCAAAATTTCACCCTGACCCTTCATTTCATTTCAGTCAGCAAATTGTCTGCTCTACTCAACCAATGATGTATCCGCTATATGATCAGTATTGATAACGTTGTGGAAGAAAGTAACCTCGATGTCCCACTCTAGTGTCGCTTTCCAAAAGTATGTACAAGCGCTACTTATTGTTCCGCTATCCGTTCAGGAGTGTACGGTATTCAGTGAGGGACCCAGTACACCACTGAAACAACATTGGCGTTCAAGCCAATCAACCTTATTTGATGGCCCCTATATCTCAAACCTAACAAGCATTAAAATCGTTCTCGTATGCTCAAGGCTATCTCCTGGTAAGCAGAACAAGGGTTACTGCTGGACCTGGTGTCTTGAAGGTGAACATGTCGAATTCCTTCTATGACAAAACCACGTTCAATGGTCATGTTCATTCCACGCGACAAGCAGGATAACAATCAAACAAGAAGACACTGATAAGTATTTGTATTAATCCGTATCAAAACCACCTCAACACACCACCTCCAGTCCTCCTTCTCGATGCATCCGTATCGCAAACCCCCATCTCCCCGTCATCATCGCCCCAAACCCGTGCACACCGGCGGATATTTCGTCCCCCTCGGCCACGTCTTCGCACAAAATCCCCATCTGCAGTCCACAATACACTTTGTCGACCAGCAATTCTTGTAGCAGCCACAGTATCCCGCATCGCAGCCCATGACGTATCTGGGGTCGTTGACGTCCCTTGATTCTTGTTGGAGGTGTTGTTCCGGCTGTTCGTGTGCGGTGGGGGCGGTGGAGGCGAGGCCTGCTAGAGCGAAGGTAAAAAAAAGGCGAAGAAGCGCATTCTTGAAAAATGTAAAAGAGACGGGTTGAGTTGGAGTGGAAGAGAAGTGAAGTTGATAGTAGTGATGGTGATGGTTTGGTAGAGAGGACGTTTAGAGTGAGAGCAAGAATGGGTTCTTATAGTGTGGGGGACTTGAGAGAGTGCATGTCATGAGTTTCTGCTTATTGTTAAACTCGGGTCTTCTGCGATAGTTCATGTTGTTGCGTGATTTTCTCCTTTATTTAAACTTAGGTACCTAATAACCCAAGTGATATACATCTATGCATGTCATCATTCGTGGTTTAAGTATAGGCTGGTAGATGGGGTGAAGGCTATGTAAGGATTTGGGACTTCCCTATAGAAATGGGGTGTCAAATATCTCTATGAACATCAGAGCCGTGAGATTACTTGGTTTTGATTTAGGTAAATATGGAGAAACCATGTCCCTACATTACTCGATGATGATAACACTAGAGTTACGTAAAAGGCCAGCTGCTCTTATAGGAAGATAAACACCCCTCAGATAACTCCGCGATACTATCGCGGAGCTACCATAGAATTCTAGTGTTACCCTTATCCACTGGTACAAGAAGATTCATAGTAGAGCGGTAGTAAAGGCTAGAACTGAACCTATCTACGTAAACCTCGAAGATCTAGAGTATCAATTATGATAGCCAGGCCGGTGATGAGAGCGAATTTGCTGGGCTGGAACAGAGCTATTTCAAGTTACGCCGACATTTCCCGGAGAAGCTCGTATAGCTGGTCCACTATCGATACTTCCCCTGCTGCGTGGTAGGTGATACTTGATATCTGTGCTTTTTCGGAGAAACAATCCGATGATGACGCGCTCGGGCAACTTTGGCATGATTTCTCTCGTAATAAGTGTATAAACAGCTGCACAGAGAGTTGTGCACTTCTATTTCAGTCTAGGTGCTGGTATATGAAAACATGGATATAAACCCTAGGAAGTTCAGCCGTGTACTTTGTCAGGGCATTTCAAGGGGACGGGGAACTACTTAGGACTCATGTTATTAGGTTTTTAGCAGAGACTAAGTCTATGGAAATAGAAGGTAGGTATAGGGATATATAGCGCATCTACTTCTAACTTAGCGTTCTTTCTTACTATTTTGTAAATCCTATATCATATTTAAATTCTGATTAACCAGGTAATTTAGCACGAAATCGCAGACACGCCCTGCAGTTTCAAGAAAGTCCTGATTCCAGCTGCTACCTCGGGCTGCGAGAATTTGACTTAAATAACAAAGTGCTGTCACGTTCGCAGAATAGTGCACCGTCATCACTCATCACGTATATGTTCATATTAACGCTGTTTCATGATACCAAAACCAGTCAGAAATGCTATCGTGGATGCTTAGAGTGAAAGAGGTCTTTCAAGATAGCGATTGTCATCCAAGCTGCCCAGCAATTCCCTCCAAACTTTCACATTCTTTCTAACTCGCGCTTTGACCAGATCAGTGCGGTTAATGAAATAAAGAAATTCAGTTTGCATTCACCCTAGGAATTTTCGGTGAGAAGAAGCTGGGAATGACGCAGCTCTGTCTCAGCATTTGCGGTGATTAGAAAAAGCTTACTACAGCAAGACCAAGATATGAGAAAGGCCAAGGTCTATTTTTGGTTTGAGGTTGACAGATGAATATGAGATCAGGGTCGCTGGGTCAAAGCGTCCTTCTTAATGGCTGTGTCGGTGTACGCATTTACCTCATAGCTCTTGAAGTCCCTAGCTCGGACACCTTGTGCGAACAATATGTCGATCTCCTCGAAAGTGCGTCCTTTGGTCTCAGGTAGGCGGAAAAAGGTCCAGATAAAGAAGAGGAATGCAAAGCCACCCCAGAAAAATCCTGTTTTCCCCTTCCAGTTACCAGCTGTTGGGTTGAGCATGTAAGGATTGATGACGTTGCTGATGATCTGCGCGATGTAGTAGACTATGCGGCTGAGGCAAACACTCTTGCTACGTAATCGAGTGGAGGATACCTCGGTGATGATGGCGTAACACATTGGTCCAACGGTGAGATAATAGATCGCGAGCCACCCAACCATCAGACCAGCTTGAGCATAGTTTCCTTGTGATGATCTGCCGTCACCAGCACTTATAGCGCCGACAGTTACAAGAATCGC